GAAATTAGGTATTTTTGATGAATTAATGGGAAGAAAAATCCGGAAAAAAGTCGGAGGTTTTTCAACGGCCTCCAACTTCTTCAATCAACGCAGTAATAAAAAAATAAAAAAAAATGATGAAGGAATGAAAAATCGTTGGTCTCTTTCCTATTTATATCATCATTTCGTTTCATTCTGCATGGCCAGCACATCACATGCGAAATTGAAACAAAAGAAATGCATCATTGTCATACGTTGTTAATTTGGTTCTTTTCTTCCCCGGCCTAATTTATGTATTAATTCAAAACTAAATATTAATTCAAAACGTGTTGAGTCTAGCTGACAGATTCTCATATTTTGGATGCCGACATAGCGAAAATCTATGCTTTGTGATATTGTTTTTATATTATTTTATTTTATTTTGGTTTTGATGTTCTTATAAGAAACATTTAGATCCGTCAATGCATCGATAATATTGCAAAATTCTTCTTAATTCATTTGGAAAAACATCTATGATATTCAAACACTTGAAATATGATGGTCAAACATATTGTCGAACTTCATGATTGTATGATCTTTGTAAGGCATATCTACTAACAGTTCATTAATATCTCTATGAAATAACCAACTATGTCAATAAAATTGCTGATAACTTTTTATCATAGTATAAACTACTACATTATTCTCTCTTCATATTGACAAATTGATATCTACCCCATAATGCATCACCCCACGGGGCGTAAATGAATTTCTCTCCAAATAAATGTTGACTTTTATAACGAGTAAAAAAAATTGACTTTTTAAAATTTTGATTACACGTACTCGTGAGGTGCTAAATTATTTTTTAAAATTATCACACATTACACGAAAGTGCATAACCTAAAGTAATTGCACATATATTAAAGTGAAACACACCACTGAGATTGTAATAATTCCTATACAAAAATGACAAAATCATCGAACATTAAAAAATGCACGCTCTGATATTTCCTTTTCAGTGTTATTTGTTTGGAATATAGAAGAGTATATAGTCTATTGTTTGAAAATCATTGATCATCTTGGTTGTTGCAATGATTTTAGAGTTGTTTATTATAATATATTTCACGTTCGTTTGAATTTGCAATATTTTGTGCCTAATAACCTCTTTAGTTATTTTATTGTCCAACTTTTTGCATTATACATAATGTTTCGAAATTTTAAGATAAAGATCCTCTCTTGATTCCTCAATAATGACAAAACAAAACAAAATAGTGGGACAATATTGAGCAACATATCATTTGTTAAAAGATTTTAGAGGAGAAGAATTCGAGTTCTATTATATTATGGTACACAACAAATTTTCATTTTTAGTCTATTATATCAATCATTTTCCAGCAAAGGTCCACCTTTTTGGCAAACATCAAATTTAGTAAATTAATTTGAAAACATTGGCGTAGTAGCAAACTCAGGGGAACCACGAGCTCACAAGGCAAGTAAACACATAGAGCGCAAGTACCACTTGATACGTGAAATTGTAGGAAGAGAATACGTCGAGGTTGTCAAGATTGCATCAGAGGACAACCTAGCCGATCCTTTCACGAAGAGTTTGTCGGAGGAGGTCTTCGTCAAACACGTGGAAGGAATGAAAGTCAGATGTGCGTGGTGATAGGATCGACATAGATCTTTTAGAACACGAGTTAATAGACGTACACTTGTAAAAGCGAAAGCTTTAAATATTAACGGGACAACCTAGCTGATCCTTTCACGAAGAGTTTGTCGGAGAAGGTCTTC